TTTCTTATTTTAGCTTATGACAAGTCAAAATTCACTTCAAAATTCATTTATTAACTATTGCTTAACAAAACACTTAAAACCCCTTTTTATTCAATCTCCCATAACTTGCAAATATTTTAGTTTCTACTTCTCTTTAAACTTCCATAAGCTTTCCTAATACTCCAAGAGGTAAAACCACTCATAAATTTCAAGAAATAACTAACTGGAAGAATCCTTACCTTTGCTATTGAGCTCACGGTGGGAGGACGAAAAAAGATGAAGAGACTTTTCAAATTTTTTTACCCATTCTTTTCCCTTCCACGTGGATATATAATATCCAAGTAATGAATTAAAAATTCTTTTTAATCAAATGGCCATTATACCCTTCCATCATTCCTTCTTTTCTATTCAATCCTACACATAGATATTCTAATTAAGTCCTAAACTTTTCAATTTTTTGAAATTAGACACGAAGTTTTAACATCTTACAGTTTGGTTACTAGCTCGGTCTTTGGGATGTTACAGAAAGAAGTAAGGAGCCAAGCATGACATCCTATATTTTGGCAGACAAGTTCAGATATCCAAAATCAGCATGACTTCTTCTTGATGTTTTTGTTATTCTAGTTAGCATGTATATTGTTTTTGCTATTCTAGTTGGAATGTATATATTTATGTCCTTTGATGCTCTGATTGAAATATGTCTGAACTACTTTTGATTAAATTATATATTATTAGTGTTTTATTTTCGTATAGATAATTTTATATTATAGTTTTTAAATGCAATTAATTATTCTAATGTCGATTTTAAACAAACAAAATTTTACTTGATTTTGAATAGTATAAGTTTTATACGATTGATGTGATATCTTTAGCTCATATACGGGGACGTAAACAGAATAGGGGTGTTACAGAATGTGCTAGAAATCCTTAGTGTGAAGCTAAGGTAGTGGATGTAAACTTCATTGAGGAATTTGAACCACTCTAAATACTTGTGTAAATTTTCTATCATTTTTCTCCATACTCTTAAAAAAAATTATTTTGCCAATTCACCCTCTATTGGCACTTTTCGGTTGATCAATAGAGCTCTATCAATTTTCGACTCAACCAAGAATATGACTTTTTCTTCGACACTTACTATATCAAAGATTCTCATCCGATCAACAAGCCACCCTATTTCAATAGAGAAAGTTATGCATATTGGAAGAATAGGATGATGCTCTTCATTCAAGCCACCGATCTAGATGCTTGGAACTCTATCCTAATGGGTCACTCAACTCAACCAATAAGATAGAAGATTGGAGTGAAGAAGAGAAGAAGAAGAAGTTCCAACAAAATGCCAAGGCCATGCATATCCTATTTTGTGCATTAAGCCCAGATAAATATAGAAGAGTCTCCTCTTGTTCCAATGCCAAGGAAATTTGGGATAAGCTCCAAGTTACTCATGAAGGAATCGATGAAGTGAGGGAAACTAAAAGTGGTCTTCTCAATCATAGCTATGAGAATTTCAAGATGAAATCGGATGACGACATCAAAGCTATGGCGAATAGATTTTCCGTGATTATCAATGGTCTCAAGGGATATGTAGAGACCATTCCTAATGTGAATAGTATTAGGAATCTGATATATTCTCTTCCAAATTCTTGACAATCGAAGAAGATGATGATCATCGAATCGAAGAAGATGATGATCATCGAAGTGAAGAACTTAAGTCTTTCTCACTTGACGAACTTATTGGCTCCCTTCTCACTCATGAGATGATGGAAAAAGAGAGAAAAAGAAAAAGAAAAGAAAAGAAAAGAAAGGAAAATTTGTTGCCTTGAAATCCTCTACCCAAAATAAAAGCACCTCAAGTGAAGAAGAGATGACCAAGCTCTTTAAAAGATTATCTAAATTCATGTCTTCCAAAGGAAAAGAAGTGAAACATGAATTGAGTAAAAGGAATGATCCCCCGATGTGCTTTGAATGCCAAAGAACGGGACATGTCAAATATGAATTTCATCTTTTAAAGAAGAAGGGATCAAGCAAAAAGAAGGCATTTGTGGTGGCTTTGAGTGATGAAGACAACTTCGATGATGAAGTAGCCAACTTATGTCTCATAGCCATCGAAGAAGATTCAAGTGTAATTTCTAACTCTTGTGATTTAAATTCTTATTCTTTTAAAGAGTTACAAGAAGCATATGATGAATTGTATTTGGAATTTAAGACCATGAATTCCAAATATAAGAAATTGATTTCAAAATTTAAAGTTGAAAATGATTTTCTTTTGAAAGAAAAATTGGATTTTGAAAAGCAAAATGAAATTTTGAACAATGATTTTGAGGTTTCAAAAATTAAAATTAATGATTTAGAAAAAAAAATTGATTTGAAATTTAATCTTGAATGCTTAACAAAAGAGAAAGAAATAATTTCTCAAAACAATTCATCATGTTTAAAAATTGCAAAATGCTCAAATTGTCATTTCATGGTTACATGGAACATACTTGTCCTATAAAGAAAAGAAAACGTTATAAAATTAGATAAGTATGAGTTCCTAAGGGAACAAGTGGCATTGAAACTAACATTCAAGGACCCAAAGAAATTTGGGAACCAAAAACAAAGTAAATGTCTCTTGTAGGTGTGTGGGAGCATTGGTGATAAAAATGAAGAAATTCAAATGCTATAACCACACAAAAAGAGAAATGGGTAACCTCTAAACTTAAATTTCTTTTAATTTTGCATAATTGGATGCCTATTTTTTTATGCATGCATGAGTTTTTGAACAAAATGATTATATGTTGTTTTTCATCTCATGTATGTTAAAATATGTTATGGCGAATATTTTAAAGTTTCAATGATTTTTTTTGTTCATCATAATGATTTTTGGTCAAATTTGTTTTAATGCTTTGTTTCTTTTACAAAATTTTACTTTTGACCCTAAATTTAAATGTATATGCATGCATGCTTATTGAAAATGTTTTCTCTCTAACAATTGATATCAAAATTCTCAAATGTATGACATTTTTCAATAGCTTTATACATATGAACTTTAATGTTTCATGTTAATATTGCATAAAGTAATATAGACTTGGATTTATTGATTTCATGTGTTACTAACATGTTTGTTCATCTTTGTTAAAATTCAATTTTTTTAAGTGCCAAGCCTTTAAACAATTTTTTTCTTGGAATGTGTTTGTTGAGGGTGAGCTTTTGATTTCTCAAGTGATTTTATGTTAAAATTTCTACTTACTCTCCATTGTTACTTTTAAACCTAAATGTTTGAATTATTTTTTATATAACAAAAAGGGGGATAAATATAGGTTTGAAAAATTCAATTTCAAGAATGAAAAAGGGGGAGCTTTATTAACATGAAAGGTTTTGTTATATCAAAAAAGGGGAGATTGTTGAACCTATTTTGATATAACAACTTTAAAGGCAAAATGTTTTTGGACTAATTGAATTTATTCAAGGTTTTCAAAAATAATTCAAAGTCCATAAAACTTAAATTTGAACACAAAAATGATTTTCTAGAAAAAAAAAGTATCGATATTATTCTTATAGTATCGATACCACATGAACATTATTGATATTGTTCTTGTAGTATCAATACCCAAGGTAAGGGAAGTATCGATACTCTCATGGCAATATCGATATTGCCTATTTGTTTTAAATGTGTTCAGATTTCAATAGGCATTTTTGGTATCAATACTCAAAGGAGTATCGATACTACTTTTTACAGTAGTATCGATACCATGACCTCAATACCGATACTCTCAACCCAATGGTTGAAAAACGACTAGTTTTTATTAGTGTAGTATCGAGACTCCAAACCCAAGTACTGATACTCCCTAGTATGGGCATTTTTATTTTGCAACAATTAAGTCCTTAAAGGCTCCAAAACATCTTCAACGACTAGAAACGGTCACAAACACATTCCAACATATAAAATGAAGTTTAAGACACTTGAAGAAGGTTACACAACACCTATCCAAGCATTGATCATCAAGAGAAAAGTTTTCATTCTTTATTCTTCATTTTCTCTTGTAAATATTGTGTTTTTAGTGAGTTTAATTTGTAAACACCTTCCTTTGAGAGGTTTATTGTTTACATTTTTTCTATTATTTTGAGAAAGGGATGGGTTTCTAGTTTAGCCATTGAAAACTAGGAAGTTGGAAAAGGTTACTCTTGAGCTTAGAAAAAGAAAAAAAACAATTAGTGAATTTGTTAGAAATCCTTAGTGTGGAGCTAAGGTAGTGGATGTAAACTTCATTGAGGAAGTTGAACCACTTTAAATACTTATGCAAATTTTCTATCTTTTCTCTCCATACTCCCAAAAAAAATTATTTCGCCAATTCATCCCTCTTGACACGTTTTCGGTTAATCGATAGAGCATCATTAATCCTAACACCTATACACTTTAGAATAAATTATTTATTACTCTAAAAACCTAATCATATATTTTTTTCATGGCTAAATGCATAAATTTGTGATATTTTGGAGATTATCCATACAAGGGTTGATATTTTTAAATGATTGAATAAAGATTTATGTCGTACACATACAAGATTAATTGCATTACGTGCCTTTAAATAATAACTCAGATTTGCATTACACCTCCTTAAACAATAACTCAAATTGAAATTACGCGCCAATCCAAACTATCAAACATTTTTTTAACTTGGTGTCTTTGGCAAGACATTTCCGAGTGAAGTATAATCAGATAGAGGTAAAAACAAACACATGATTTTATGTTAGTGAGATGAACTTAAAACATTTTAGAGAAGACTCAAAAATATATTATCGATAAAAATATAAAAAAACTGCCTAAATTATACAAAAATTTAAAATTTTCAAGTATAATAGTATTGAAAAATAAAGAAATATTTGACACAAACTATCGTAATCATTGAAAGGGAGAGTGGGGATGATTGATAGTGTTGCAGTGAATTAAGATGAGAGATATTTGTCTTTCCCTCGGCCATAAGTTTGCAACAACTGGCTCGGCCCCGAGCTTGAAGAGTCTTATAACGAGTATGACAAACATGGAATAAAATAATTAAACATGCTAATTTATTAAAAGATGTTCTCAATACCCTATATTTCTTCTGGTCTTGTCAGACCCACAAAACAAAGATATTTCAGACCATTCAAACTATAAAGACAAAGAACATAGTCTATGAACTTCAATCATCTATCAGTGTTCTGGAATATCCTCAGATTATCAAAATCTTTTACCAATCAGTGTTCTCCGCCCTCCCCTGGGTTCTCATCATATTCTTCGTCGTCGTCGTCGTCGTTGTCGTCATCCTCATCAATGTTTAATAAGCTGCCTCGAGGGAGTTTGCTGAGCTCCAATTCCCCATCATCTTCATTAAGGAATTCCAGCCCATGTTTTGTGTCACGATGCTTAACCAAAAGCCAACGTAACAGCCTGTCCTCCTTGTTCAAGTACTGCAGCTCCTTGTTGATATTGGGTGTGGCCATCATTGTCATCTGCATGAGATTACCCTGTATAAAACATGAAATAAACAGGTTGTTCAATTGATCGTTTCATCAACAAATTTTTATGCCAAAAAGACCAATTCTCTACGAATTTCTTATAAATACACATACACAAAGGAGGCTATAGTTTGGAGATAGAACAGAGGGTTGTAAATGCAAAGACCTGAACTACAAACCTGCTAGATGCCATCTTTTAAAGAAAACAATAAATTATCATTCATAACTATATAAATCAAAAGTTCATTTTTATGTCAAATTAATAAGTTTCAAAACAGAACACTCTGTCCCTGTACAACGAAAGCCTAGTTTCAATCTGTGAAACAAGTAGGAAGTAAATATATATCATGACAGTCAAAGATTTATGTATTTCCCAGAATAAGATGGACCTCAACAAGACAAGTTCATAGGCTGACTATACCTACCAGACTTTAACATATTCGGATTTTTGATTTTCCATTGCAACTTTATCAATTCGAGTTAGCTCAATTCATTTATTTTCTAAATCAAAACAACGTTTGAACAAGGGGCAGCCTGCATAGTCTCATAGGCTGGTTATAAACCACCAAAAGAAAGGACATGGAATTTTAGATAAAGCAAAAGCTTCCATTTAAATTTCAGAAGTCACTACAATCTAAACTTAGCAAAAGTTTTTTTTTAATATGAGATGATTACGAGGTAGTATATGCTTAGAATCTTTCTTAAACTTAACTATTAACTACGCTGCAGACACAGCTGCTTAAGTCCAAATCTTCTAGGTAAGACAACGTTCCTTTTTAACTTACAAAAGATAACTTCAAAAGCGCAAAATGCAAAACACAATCTTAGCAGGATCAAGCACTACATATGAAACAAAGGGAAAGATTTTATGACCTGGAAATATCTTCCAGAAAGCTTTCCGATGCCATAACCCAATTGAACGGTGCCAAATGATTTGACCTCAGTGAGAACCCCATTTCTGCTATGAACATGTCTACCGACACGAGCAACCAAGTCCATTATGCCCTCCTTCTTCACATGAGGCTTCAATAGAAGCATACAATCATATAGAGGCATTTCTTTAACTCTGTACAAAATCACCAACCCTTTTTAAAAAAAAATCAAATTCGAAGCCGAATCGAACAAAGTTCTGAAAATAATCAGTGTACTCCCCCATAGAAATTAATCTCAAAGCTTAAGAGAAAGAAAAAAGTGTAAAATACCTTAATCCAAAGGCTGGAGCAAGCAATACAGCACCAAAAATAAGAGAAAGAGACCCGACTAGGGATTGCTTGATTTGGGGTTTTGGGTTTATTGGAAGTCGAAAACAACGCTAATGCCCCCCCCCCCCCCCAAAAAAAAGAAGTTTATTCGGGCAAACCCAATTGTTTGGGCTAACAAGTCATTTGGATCTTCTTTGCATCCAGTTGAGTCGACTGCATTAGGCCTTACGCCATAAAATATAAAAAAAATTAGGGTCAAGTATACAATTGGTCTCTAATTATAGGGTATTACTTTATTAAGTCACTCAACTATTAAAAATTATAAAATAATTATTTAATTATAGTGTGTTACTTTATTGAGTATCTTAACTATTAAAAATTACAAAATGATCACTCAGTTATTTGTTATATTTCAAACTTATCATTTTATGTTTAAAATTTGATAATACTCTAAGTTGAACTTGCATCATAGGGGATAGTGGGGGTCATAAATCTCACCCAAAAATATATTAAAAAATATATATATATATATATATATATATATATATATTAAATTATTAAATTTGACATCTCAAAAAATATTCATAATAAGTTATTAATTTTTTATTCCAAAAAATGAACATTATTTTAAAATTTGAAAATCATTTAAATATTATTTATTATTAATAATTATTTATTGTTATATTATTATTTTATTTTTAAATAAATGAAAATCCATTTTCATTTGTCCAATTTCAAGATAAAAAAAATTCTTTGTAGTTTTCATGTTTGGTTGTTAATCTTATTTAAGTTGTTTATCTTTTTCAAGTTGAGGATTCAATCAAATTATCAAGTATTTTGTTTCAGTTAAAATTATTATTTTAAATATTTTTAATTTAGATTTAGATTTATTATTTTATTTCATATATATATATTTATTATACATATTCATCTCTAAAAATAAAAATATAAACATAAATTTATATATATGAAAAAATTTTAATAGGTCTTAAAATATCTTGGTTATATAAATATAAAAATAAATATAATTTTAAAATTTATTGATTAAATTTGTATATGAAGTGAAATTATTATAAAACTTAGTTGATATATTTTTATGATTGTAAGTTGTGTGAAATCATGGAAAAAAAAGAGTAGATGCATTTTGTTTCTTTAAAATTTTATGTAAACATATGAATTTTAATGATATAAAAAAATTATCAGTATGATATATAATCTGGAAAAAAACACTAAAGGGACAAAAACACTAAAATATTTTAGTTTATATATATATATTAAATGGCTCCCTCATTAGGAAATATCGACTTACGCTTGTTGAAATTTAACCTACTGAATGTGATATGATAAAATATGACTTCAAAATCTCAAATGACTATCATATCTTAGCTATCATGTTAATGTCCAACTTAGACAAATGCTAATTTTTAACAAAAAATGACCAGTTTTGAACATAATAAATAGTCAAGTGGTCATTTTGTAACTTTTAATAGCCGAGAGATTTAACACAATAACATTCTAAAGTCAAGTGATCATTTTGTAACTTTTAATAGTAGGGGGACAATAAAGCAATACCCTATAGTTGACGAACCATTTGTGTACTTTACCCATAATTTTAATAAGAAAAGGTTGTGAAATTTAATATAATTTGGACATGGTAATTCATAATTTTTGTATCAGTAAATACATATTATAATTGTAACGCCCTAGACCAATACGACATACATTCATCCGATTTAGATGCCACACGGAACCACCAGAGTGGCTGTGGCTGACCAACTTTTTCTTACTTTATTGTACTTTAAAACGACTCCTTACATCTAAGAAACTTTACAACTCAATACAACTGAATTCATGAATATACATGGCATTTAAGAAACTTGTGATGTACTCTTCTTTGCACTGGATCTGGACCTCGGTCTCACTAAAGCTTCTCAACTGTTGGATCTAATAACCTGCCCACGGAAACATCTGAAGGCTGAGCTAACAAGCTCAGCGCCACACTAACGACTAAAACATACTATCTGAAATTCACTTAAAGGCTTAAACATTCAAGTATAATGCTTTTATATCTGGTCTACTGATATGTTATGTACTGCTTTAGTAAGTGTACTTGTATAATCACTCTTTACTCTATGGTAGACATCATGGTGCGGCTGAGCGTACTGCATCTTGGAGCTCACATACCCCTCTAGTCTACCAAGAATGTGGCCCCTGAAATCTCTACATCGAACACCACACTCTCGACTAGCCAACTCCTTGAGTGTCAGAACTTGACCCAAACTAGTCAGCTTAAAGTGCCTTGCGCACTCCCTAAGGATATCCTGACTGAATCTCTACTTTCGACTCTGTTATCTTTTCTAAAAGAACTCGGGTCTCTTAATCATTTTCCCAAGCATTCAAACAAGGCTAGTATTACTTGATCTTACTTTGTTCTTGTTTCTACGTTTGAATTAAACTTTCTTATCATTCTCACTTGTAGTCTTATTTGATGATAAAAAGAAGTATTGGCCTTGAGTCTAATTTCTTCAAAACTAACATTTTTTCCAAAACATATTGAAAATATCGATACTAGTCCAAGAGTATCGATACTCTTGTAAAAGTTTCAATACTTTATATAAGCAACGATACTTATAAACATTCTGATTTATCCAGCTCTGAAACTTTTCAAAACTTTCTTGGAGTTTTGAAACTTTGACCCAAAGTTTCGATACTCTTGAAAAAAAATATCGATACTCTTGCCTAGAAACTTAGAATTTGCCCAAAACAAAGAACAAATATCGATATTATCCCTATAGTATATATACTCTACCTGCATAAGTCATAAAACAAGTATAAAAAACTATATTTCTCAATCCCAAAGACCTTAGTGAGGTCCCCAAACATGCTTAAAGTTTTATGTGAATACAAGTGGAATAAATAAGGCTTTATATCATTCTTACAACATCAAATGATTAAGGGCTTGAAATACAACTCAAGGTTAGATTAAGCTTAAATACAACTCCTACAACTCAAATCTACCAAAAACAAGCTTAAAACACTTGATTTCTCTCAACTCCCAAAAACTCATTTTCTAAAGTCTTACCCAAAACTAAAGATTAAGGGCTTGAAATTAAGCTTAAGGGGTGAAGAATATGATTCTTACCTTGGTTTCTTCAAACTAGGTTTGGGATTCAAGAAACTTATATCTTTTTGTTTTCTATTGGTGTCAACACTGTTTTTCACCCGGGTGGGGAAAAAATTAGTACGACTTGGGGTTTTCTTTGAAAAGGTTTTGAAATGTTTTGGAGTCGTCATCAACCTTTTGGGTTAGGTAGGTCGAATACCTAAAGTTTTCTTTTAAAAGAGTTTTTAATAAAACGCCATTTTAAAGATTCACCAATCTACATGTAACCATATATTCATTTTTTTGTAAAAAAAGGGTTCGAGGATCGATTACGTGTGAGGAAGGATAAGCACCCCACAACGCCCAAAATTGGAACCACATCGATTGTAAAATTTCTCTAATAGTGGAAATCTAAGAATTCGAATATAAATTTAAGTTACGATCCTATTATTCCAAATTCAACCATACAATTTTTGTTTAATGGAAAATTCTAAAGAGAAATAGAAAATATTCTAATATTTCCAATTGAAGAGAAAATAACCCCTAAAATACTTTAGAAAGAATATTTCTCTTTCCAACTGAAATAAAAAGAATATAATAATTTCTCCCAAAAAATCAGTATCAAAATAATTTGATTCGACCAAATAAAAATTAAGCCAATTAATCCAAATTATATATCTAGTTTAAAAAGATAAGAGATGTTTAATTATTTAAAAATACCGAGATTTAATCCCTAATAAAATTAGATGGATTATCTCGACAAGTTTAAATAAAAGAACATTTCATTTTCTTTTTATTCTTGATTTAATTTTAAGCATAATCAAAAAAAATTATTTTTTCTAGTAGGGTATTTATTTATTTTAAAACATCAGAATATGACATCTAGTTACTTTAAGACAATCCCTTCTTAATATTTTAAAATAAATAAATATTACCTTAATCCAATTATGTAATCGGTTGAGTTATGCTTTTGAGGCTTTCAGGAGAAATTAGTTAGGACTAAAATGAACTACTATGCAAATAAGATGCAAAAATTAAAATAAAATAAAAATAGGATTAAAGCACGGACAATCAAACCATCACGCCAAAATTGAAACATCAATAAAATATACAAGTGATTAAAATAAACATTTTCAATGTACTATGCTAAAATTACAACAAATAAAAATAAATAAAGCATGGTGCTAAATTAAAATAAATTAAAACTATATAACCGAATTAAAAAAAATAAAAAAACACATTCGGGTTCGAAATACAAACATGCAAAAATACATAATTATTTTATAAATATTCCAATTTTTCTAACCTAAAATAATGTATTCGAAATAAAAAAGAAAAATTACAAAATTATTCCCTAAGAATTTAAAAAAAAAATTAAACAACCACTACACATTACCAAACTATAAAAACACTCTATACATGCAAGGATCATTCGGAAAATAACCTTGAAAATACATAACATGCATAAAAGTGGGTAAATCACAAAAACAATCCATACATGTGACTAATATGCAAAAAAACGGCTAAACTAGGGGGACTAAATAGAAATTAAACCATAAATTATACAATACGCATAAAAAGGATAAATATCAAGTTCGATCCCTACAGGTGACTATTTTGTAAAATGAGCTAAACGTTGGGGGACTTAAGGTGAAATTTCCCCCTTACATTTACTATATATATCAAACTTTTCCTTTTTTTATTTTCGTTTCATTTTTTTAAATTATTTTTAGAGCGGGAGGGGCCCTCTCTCTAGAAAATTGGTCGGTTATCGGTGATTACCTTCGTCGGCCGTCGTCGTGCCACCACTGATGGCCACTAAATTTCAATGGAAGGTCTGTCTCGGCCTCCCCGTCTTCAATCTGGTGTCTATTTTGTGAGAATCGACCCCAAACTCTATGAATCTAGCCAAAACCATTCGACTTTCCACTCCTTGATCCGTCGCCTTCTGTCGTTCGATCTTCGTGAATCTTCAATATATTGGTCTCCTCCTCCCGGCTCACATCTT